CCCCCCCCACCCCCCCCCCCCGCCACCCGCCCGCCAACCCGCCGCCACGGAGTTGCCGAGTGCCGAGGGGCTGCCGGACGCTCTCAGCCAGCTGCTTCCCCTCCCTTTGACCTTTGAACATCTTCCCTGAGTGCAGCTGTAAGAGGGAAGTTTGGGCTGGGCTGGGGGACCCTGCTGCGCCCAGCTAGGGGGCCCTCCAGCATCCTGCCGCCAAACCGCCGCCACGGAGTTGCCGAGGGGCTGGTTCCTGCCGGACGCTCTCAGCCAGCTGCTTCCCCTCCCTTTGAACTTGTTTCATCTTCCCTGAGTGCAGCTGTAAGAGGGAAGTTTGGGCTGGGCTGGGGGACCCTGCTGCGCCCAGCTAGGGGGGATGACAGGACGGGGGTCCTGCCTTGCCGTGGGGTGGGGAGGAAGCATGCGAGACGGGAGATGAGAGCTTTTCCACCAGCATGAAGGCAGCAAACCTATTTTAGGTGGTTTCCAGCTGTTTAGAATGGTTCCTGTGGAGGCTGGGGAGCATGGTACCCTCTGCTCCAGCCTGCTCAACCCAAGCGATGCTCTTGCATCCCTCCATACTCAAGAAAAGACCCCTTGGGGGGAGGCAGCATCCTTCAGACCCTCAGCCAGGAGGGATGCTACCCAGGGGTTTGGGGCAGAGGGAGAGGGTTCAGTGGGATATCCCGGTCCCCTGACCATGCTGGGTGTGCACTGGGTTTACCTCTAAGAGCAGGAGGAAGGAGATGCTAACTCAGAGCCATGCAAGACCCCTCTCCATCCCGCAAAATCTGCCTCCACCTTGCATGAGTGGCCCACATTCCTCTGTGTTTCTGTGTCCATGGGAAACACGGCCATGGGAGCAAGGAGGATGCCCAAGTTGTCGCATCGGATGACACTTGGGCATCTCCTGCTGCCATCCTGAGACACATTACAAATGTCTCAGGGCACCATTTGCTCAAGACATGCTGCCAGCAAACACCCACCACCGGGGCTGCAAAGCTCCGGATCTCCCCCCCGGCAGGGCTCGCTCTCCGGCTGGGTGCATGGGCAGCAGACGGGTCCACGTGTTTGCTGGTAGAAGGAGCAAACCTGTAGGTTGTTCCCCCAGGCTCGCAGCCCCCAGGGCAGGGGTGTGCCTGGGCAGCCAGGAGTCGGAGCCGGGCTGTGATGCACCATGTTCCCCCCCTCCCTGCCAAGCTGCGGTTCCAGTCCCGGCTCTGCCTAATTAAATAGAAAGCCTGGAAAGTCCAGTAGTGACTTTGCTTCTCCTTCAGACAACTCTTCCCAGCCAACAGTCCCATTGGATTCTCACCCCAATTGGCCAGTACATGACAGGGACTTGGAAACCCTTGCACACCCCTTCATGGAACCCAAAATGCAAGTGGTGACTCGCTGGGGACCCCCGAGGAGAGATGGCATTTGCGGGGTGGTTGGCACGAGGATGGAGCAGGGATGCACACGGACCCTCCCTCCTTGCTGCTCCCAGTCCCTGTCGGCTGCCTCTATGAAATGCATTTCCCTTCCCTGCTGTCTCGTCTCCCTGAGCCTCGGCAGAGCCAAGGCTGCCTGCGAGCGGATAGCGGGGCCGGGGATGTGGGGGATCCCTGTGCACGACAGCCCATGAGACCCCCTCGGCTACACCAGGCCACGTGTGGGTCATGCAGGCAAGCATCCACCCTGTGCCAGGCTTATCTGGGGACTTTCTTTGGCACAGGAGCGGGCCGTGGCGTGCACGCTGTCTGCTGACCCTGTCCCCTCTGTGCCTGATGCTGGCTGGCCACGTGCCAGAGGGGTTGTCCCCGCTCCATGTCCTGGCTGCCCTAGGGATGTGGCCGAGGCAGAGATCCCCCCGCATCGCTCCCCACCTGCCTACAAATCTCTGTGGGAATGCCATCACTGCCCGGGACTGGATGCCATCGCTGCCTGTGGACCTCCGGGGATGTTAGCAGCTCTCCCTGAGGTCTCCCAGGCACGAGTGGCCACATGTTTCTCGCCGGTGACACAAGCCCTGCCGAGGTGTCGCAGGCTCTCAGCACCCAGCACCAATTTGCACACCGGTGGGTTTGGCGTCGCAGTGAGGAACGACACCACGAAGCTGCGATTCGAGCTGTCAGCGCTGTAAAAATGTTTTCAGTATCATCTTTTAGCATCTAGCAACAGGTTGGGAGAAACTTGAGGCACTTCAGATTCAGGGAATATTCTTTAGTGGCGTTTTCTGTCCTATTTGCGATCTACAATGTTGTTTTGCTGTTGCTGTCTCTAGGGCACAAAAATCACCTAAAATCACCGCATTTGCCAACTGCCAGGAATTCACACCAGGGAAAGAAGGAAACATCCAGGGATAAGCGAACAGGAGAGCTGGCAAAGCCAAACCCTTCTTGTTGAGGCTATGAAGCCTTTCAATGTTAAAGTATGCTACAAAAAGCCAGAGGAAAATCTCACGACGCTGAGAAATCGGGCACAAAACAGGACAACAAAATTCGGGGTCGATATTGCATGAGAAAAACCCACCCAAACTATATGCAGGATGAGGAGGGGCTCTAACTTAATATTGCTCCCAGGAAAGCTCCTGGGCTCAGGGCAGAAATCTCCCCAAAAAGCCCTATTTGATGCTCAGAGGCAACAAGGGAGGAAAAAAGACTGGGTTTTTTAGAAAAATGACTGATGAGAGCTAGGCAGCGTTGCTATGTATAAAGCCGCAGTCCTCCCACACCTGAACCCATCCCCACCTCACAGGGGATGCAGGAGGACCAAAAAAGTACCGAGAGCAATGACAGGGTGAGAATCACTTCAGTTACACTGACGGGCTGGAAGACGAGGGTTTTTCAGGCTGGGAAAATCACACTTAAGGAGGAAGTTGGGAACAGCCTGCGAGATCGCCTGTGGCAGGGACGGGGTGGGCAGGGACTGTGGTTTTATCCTGTGTCCCCCCCCACCTTACGCTCCTTCACCAAGCAGTCTCTGCTGGCCATGGCTGCAGGAAAAACCCCAAAGCAACAGATCTCTGGCCTGATCCAGTGGACCTGGGGATACCGAGCACTCCGGAGCAGTCAGTTGATCCTGACGCAGGTGCCTCCTGTCCCTGTTTCCCTGTACAGGAAGGCGATTCCTGCCCCGGGAAGGGTCCTATACCCGTTGGGGTCTGGGCAGCACCTAACACAGGGGGTTGGGTCCCTTTTGGGGGGTCTTTCTGCTGATGAAGGATCATGGACCCCTCCAGCAAAGGGGCTGGAGCCCGTGTCTGAACTGCAAAGGGGTCAGTGGGGTGACACGAGCTGGGTGTGTGCTCAGCCATCCTGTCTGGGCTGAGTTTTCCAGCAATGCTCTCAGCAGCAGGAGCCTTCCCAGAGCTGACGAGCCCGACAAAGGTGTCCCTGCAGCCCGGGCATGTCTTCGGACAGAGCAAGGGGGACCAGCGACAGCGACTGCACAGTGGGGGGCTGAGCTGGGACACGCAGACTGCACTTGAGCGGCACCAGCGCCGGGTGTCACATCCCCTTCTAGCCCCACTGACACCCCCCAGTCCCACTGCAGCAGCCCGGCCCCACGGCTGCCTCCCCCCAGCCCCAGGGGCTGCAGCACCGGTGGGGAGAGAGCTGGCCACGAGGTGGTTAAATATCTCCTCCTGGAGCAGCAGAGTTCAAATACAGGTCCCCCTCATTTATGCCCCACTGTACTTGCTATGGGCTTGGCTTTGATAACAGATACAAATGATGAGAAGGGGAAAAACAGGGAGAGGAGTCATTTGTGGGGCAGCCCCATAGCCAGGGGTCTCTCCTGGGTGAGCCTGCCCCATAAGACATGCTGGGCTGTCACCTCTGGTCCCTCAAAACCTCAAAGCTGTGTCCCACATGTCCATGAGCAAGCAGGTTATCACCCCCGGGCTCCTGGGCTCCCCATGGCAAGGGAAAACCTGGGCTGAAGACAAATCTGCCATCCCCTTTCCACTCCTTGAAGCACCCGTGCTCTCTCATGTGTGGTGGGACACACTTTGTTCCGGCCATGGGGACCCTGGGAGGGGCTGCCCTGCCCTGCCTGCCGGCTGCCACAATGCAAGCTTTTCCTGCACACCCAGCACCCCCCTGAACCCCCAAGCGAAGCTGCCGGAGGCTCTGGGACCCCCCCCAGCCCAGCCTGCCCCGATTGCTGCTGCGGCCAGATGTGCCCAGGCTGGCAGCATGGAGGAAGATCTTACTCCCAGTGCTTCTCCAAGAGTTTGGGGCATCCTTGCTCCCTTTTAACACTTGCAGCAGCCACCGCAGAGCCCATCCCAACACATTTTCCTACCTGACAGGGATCTTCACCCGCAGGTATCGATCCACGGCTATGGCCAGGAGTGCCAGGATGGAGCTCTCGGTGAGGATGAGGACGGGACAGGCCACCATGAGGCAGCTGTAAAACTCCGTCTGTGGTCCGATGTTGATGATGATGGCCAGGGGGATGACCAGGGCCCCCACGGCCACGTCGGCCACCGCCAGCGAGACGATGAAGCAGAAAGTGGCATCCCGCAGCGCCTGGTTCATCTTCACAGCCCAAATGACCAGGATATTCCCCGGCACGGACACCAAAGCGATGAGGACTTCGATGGAGATGTAGGCAGCCTGGAAGGCTGAGACAGAGTGTGTCATGATGCTCCGGTCCCCTCCCCGCTCACGCTGGGGTCCCTCGGTCACCTGCAAACGCACAGGGAGGCGGTCAGCAACTGGAATCGTCAACTGCGCTGCGAGCCGGGATGGACCCTGTGCGGGGGGGTGGGAAAAGAAAACCCCTCTCCTGTCTGTGCCGTCCCCTGGGGCTCCGGCCCCCCCCTCCCCGGGGCTCATCCTGCACCCACCTCCATCCCGCTTCGCAGCCGCGCCGGGAGCTGCGGGGAGAG